AGATCGTGCGGACTCCCACCAACGCCAGGTTCGACTCCCCCGAGTCGCACGTGGGGGTGGCGTGGCGGCTGAAGAACGAAATCCCCAATTCTCACATACTAGACCAGGTGAACCTCCGGTGCTGGGAGCTGACTGTGCCCAGGACAGCGTTTTCCTGGGGCGGCCTGCGGGGACTTGGGGCGACCCAGGCTCAGTGGGCTCGGGTGGGTTGGCCCCCTGCCTTGCTCTGTCCGCCTGTGGTTAATCCAGGAGTTGCAGGTCCGGGAGAGCTGGTCCTGAGGTCACCTGCGTGCTCCCCTTTGGGGTCCTCCGGCTGCTGCTGACGTCTCCCATTCCCCGCCCCTCTGCTCTTCGCAGTACCGCAATGCCAGCAACCCTCTGATGCACTATGACACCACAGCTGAAGAGATCTTGCAACAGTGTGAGGGTGTGTGTTCCTCTCACCCAGGTGCTGGCAGCCTGGGTGTGCAAACTCTTCACCCTTGAAAACCCAGCTCAAGGGTCCCCTCTCTGTGAAGTGGTTTCTAGAGCAGTTTTCTCTTTCCTTTGTGCCCTCTTGGCCTCGGCCTGTGCCTTAATAACAGAGATGCCTGCTGTGGCTATTTGTTGACCCCCTAATCCAACCCCAGCCCTGAGAAGCAGTTGTGGGTCTAGGACCTGGCAGATGCGGGCCTCTCACCTGGGGGGATCCACACTGCAGAATGTGTCTGGCTCTATGTGGTACAGTTCAGCATCCAGGGGTGGTGACGGCTCAGCGAGCATACTTTCTGTACCTCAGAGGCTCCCTGAGCACCGCTCTCTGCCAGCCCTGTAGGGGCAGCACCTGCTGGGAGGGTGGCTCCTTGGCCTCCTGTTGGAATCCGCTGTTGGCCCGCCAGCTTCATGGGCAGCAGCGTGTCACCTCGGCACTGGGCACCGCCGGCTCAGACTGCCTGCCCACTGCTGGAGCTGACCCCGCAGCTCAGGCCAGAGCCTCTGATGAGTCTGAACTTGGTCGCGTGCCTGGTTGCGGGTGTGTTCACACCCGGGGTCACCCAGAGCCCTGCGCTGGCCTGAGCACGCTCTCGCTCCACCAGGGAAGCTGGACATGCTGGTGGCTTCGGTGGGCACGGGTGGCACCATCACGGGCATTGCCCGGAAGCTGAAGGAGAAGTGTCCCGGGTGCAGAGTGAGTGGCATGGGGGGTTGGCATGGCCCGGGATGGGGCGGGCCTGACTTGCTGGCTTTTTCGCTGTGGCTTCTGCCATGCCTGCGGGTCATGGCGGCTCCTTGGCATCAGCCTGTTCAGAGCCAGAAGCTCCTCCTACCATGTCGGCCCAGGTGGTACCATGGTCCTGGCAGATGTGTGTCTAGGCTGAGGGGGTCCAAGGCAGGGTTCCCCAGTGGAGACCCAGCATCTCCCACCACCAAGACCCACATGGGCCAGGGCTGTGCCCTGAGCCTGTCAGCCCGGGGCTCGGGGAATCAGAAGGCCCTGGGTTGGGCAAGGGTGGTTCTAAGGGTTGGCCCGTCTTCTCTTGGAACAGGACTGCCACGCTCTAGGGAGTAGTGCCTGGAGCTGCCCTTGTCCCCAAAGGCCCTGCTGTCCCCTGCAGGTGTCCTTCCCACAGGAGCCCTGGAAGGTCACTGCGCCCTGGGCCGGATGTGACTTCAGATCAGTCACAGAGCCCTCATCTCCTGGTGCCACCTCCAAGTGGGGCCAGCACACACTGTGGGCCGTGAGCGGTGATGGCCGGCCTGTCCTGGCGATGCTCAGCCCAGCGCCCACCCTGCAGGTCATCGGGGTGGACCCTGAGGGCTCCATCCTTGCCCAGCCCGAGGAGCTGAACCGGACCGAGCAGGTGGCCTACGAGGTGGAGGGCATCGGCTACGACTTCATCCCCACGGTGCTGGACCGCGCGGTAGGCCGTCCTGGGCCAGAGCCTCACCCAGTGCCCAGGATGCTGGGTCCAGGGTGGGCGCCGGCGGGCGGGTAGGAGCCCCTGTGAGGTGGAGAGGGGCTGGAAGCACCCCCGCCCCGCCAGGGCTGGCACCATGGCCACGGTTGCTGGTCATCTGAGGGCCGTCCCACCCAGGTGGTGGACAAGTGGTTCAAGAGCGATGACGAGGAGGCCTTCGCCTTCGCCCGCATGCTGATCGCACAGGAGGGGCTGCTGTGTGGTGAGTGCGGCCCTGGGGGCCGTGGTGGGCAGGGGCCCTGTGGGACATCATGTGGAGAGGCCCAGCAGCTCAGTTTGGCCCCAGGGTGCTTTGAAGACCAACCACGTGCACCCTGAGTCACGTGGCCGCGCCCCTGCTGGGGAGCCTGGGGGCGCAGGGAGGGCTGCACCCCAGCATCTGTTAAGAGAACGTCCAGAGGGTGCCAGGGACAGGGAGCCGTGCTGCCTTCAGAGGGCCAGGCACCAGCCGCAGGGTGTCATCCCGGTCCCTGTGCAGAGGAGGGCCGTGCTGTCTTGCACAGTGGGTAGGACTTCGGGCCCCTCCACCTCCCCATGCTGAGCCCATGGATTCCGCAGAGGCAGCTGTGCACCCTGGCTTGGTGTCGCTGGGACAAACCCCAGGCGCCCCCTGACACTCCATTCAGGGACCCAGAACCCTGGGGCATTGCCTGGCACCGGCCCCCTGTGGCCAGGCAGGATCCCTCTGGTCTGCAGGCCTCTCCCTGGGCACCCAGGAGACTAGATGTGGAAAGGATGGGTCCTCCCGGCGCCGGTGCCTGCCGGCCCTTGGAGAACACATTCACGGACGTGTGCGCTGCTCACACGCACTTGTGCTTGCGTGTGGATGCATACTCGGGCACACACTAGCGAGTCTGACTGAAGGTCCTCCGGCAGGTGGCAGTTCTGGCAGTGCCATGGCCGTGGCCGTGAAGGCCGCCCAGGAGCTGCAGGAGGGTCAGCGCTGCGTGGTCATCCTGCCGGACTCAGTGCGGAACTACATGTAAGGCACCCTGGGCCGAGGTGGCTGTCGCACAGTGTCCCTGAGGGCCCAGGGAAGCGGGTTGGGCCAGCCAGGACAGGGCGGGGCTGGTGTGACCCCCCGGCACGCTGACAGATGACAGTGCAGTGCCCACGGCCCTCCTGCCCACGGCCCTCCTGTCCCAGAGAAGCTAGGGGACAGCTCCAGCCAGGGTCCCCTGGGACTTGTGGTGACACCTGTTTGCCCAGGAGCCTCCTGGGCTCCTAGCCACTGGGTTCTGGACTCAGGGTGCCAGGCTGCCCGGTCCCTCCCCAGGCTGACACCCATGTTCCCAGCCACCGCTGGGGAGCCACCGGGCACCGGCCTCTAAGGTGCGGAGTGGGACGGGCCCAAGCCCCTGCCCTCAGCTGCCCTGCTGGCCAGGCGGCTGCACTGGAGAGCACTCATCTCCCGAGGGCTTGGCCAGCCTGCTGTGTGTGCCAAGGAGCGGGCAGGCAGGGGCCCCGGGCCTGGACTGCAGAAGCCTCAGGAAACGGCCCTGGCCGCCGGCTGCAGCTCCTGGTCGGGCCTCTCCGAGCGTCCTGGCCCCAGTCCCGGCCTCTCCCATGGGCATGAGCCAGGGCAGCTCTGTTGGGCCACGGTGACTCCCCTAGTTCTGCAGGTCCAAGTTCCTGAGTGACAAGTGGATGCTGCAGAAGGGCTTCATGAAGGAGGAGGAGGTCGCGGTGAAGAGGCCCTGGTGAGCGGCAGCGGGGACCCATGTCGGGGACGCAGCCCGCGCCGCCCATGCCCTCACCCACTCTGCCCCGCCCACCTCTCTGCAGGTGGTGGCACCTGCGGGTCCAGGAGCTGAGCCTGTCGGCCCCGCTGACGGTGCTGCCCAGCGTCACCCTGGAGCACACCATCGCCATCCTGCGTGAGAAGGGCTTCGACCAGGCGCCCGTGGTCGACGAGTCCGGGTCAGTGCCGCCCCTTCCCCGGCAGCTCTGTCTGCGGCTGCCTGGAGCTGACCATTCTGCTGTCCCGGGCAGCTTGGGCCCCGGGGTCCACCTCCATATGAGGCCTAGAATCCTGGCCCAGGTCAGCAGCAGGGCTGCGTTAGCTCTGAGCCCCAGACTCTGCCAGAGGTGAGGGACAGGCACCCGAGGGTGTCACCAGGGAGGCCACACCACCTCTGTCCTGGACTCGTGTGCTGCACACTCGCTGGGTTCTGGGGAGCCCCATGCTGGCTGGAACCCTGGGCTGATGCTGCCTCCCCGCCCCGCCCTACTCTGTTCCCCAGGGCCATCCTGGGGATGGTGACCCTCGGCAACATGCTGTCCTCTCTGCTTGCCGGGAAGGTGCAGCCAGCCGACCAGGTCTGCAGGGTGCTCTACAGGCAGTTCAAGCCGGTATGGTGCTGTCCCGCTGGGGCCTGGGCCGCCTCACTCCTGCTGCTGGCACCTGGGTCCCCACCCTGCCTCACCCCTGCTCGACGGCATGCTGGGAAAGGCCAGTGCTGCCTGTGCAGTCCCCAGGCGGGCGGGTGTCTGTGTCCCCTCTCGTGGGCTGGGTAGCACCTGACAGCTGTCCCCAGCAGGCCCGATCTGTGGAAAGGTGGGAGCCACCACGGGTTCTGCCCAAATTAGCAATGAGTCAGACTTTCCCTCACCTCACCGCACACCAATCACCAGTCTCCCTGCATTTCCCGTTCGTGCCCTGACAGGGCCCTCGGTGCCTCTGCTTCCCTGCAGCTGGGGTCCTGTCCTCCTGCTGAGCCGTCTGCCTGGAGGAACCCCAGTTCCCCCAGCCCTGGCCTGGCCGTCAGCACCACTCCCCTCTCTGGTTCACCTGGAGGCGGGGGTGACGAGGCCACAGGGCTCAGCTCACCCAGGCCCTTGGTCCCTCCTGGAGTGGATGCCAAGGCTGAGGGGCCCTGGGATTCTTGGAGACTCACTCCCTGCCGCTGGCAAGGCTGCCCTCTTCCTCCTGGAGGCTATGGCCCACCCCTTCCCACCGTGTCTCTGGAAGTTTCCATCTCTCCTTACTGAGGTGTAACTGTGCGCTGTGACTGTTGAGTGTATGTGTGTGACAGCTTTGACATAAAACATGCGCTCGTGACGAGCCTGGTCCCCCCAAGGCTTCCTCCCTGCCTTGAAGCCTGCGTCCCCCACGGGCAGCGACTGTCCACTGCCTTTTGCTGCGGTCCTGGCATGAGTCTGCGTCTGGGGGTTGTGTCCAGCCCGGGCCCCTGGAGATGCATGGGTGAGGGCTGCCTGGAGCAGGTCCCTGCATCCTGTCTCGCCTTGTGCTCCCCCAGCCACCCGCCTGTGCTGCTGGCCTTGCCCTGACAGTCATGCACGGCAGTGGGACAGCAGCGGGACAGCAGTGGGAACTCACAGGGGCGTGTTCAGGGCTCGTCCTGCCCACGGTCACCCGAGCTTCTTATGGCACTGTGGCCTCCATGTCTCCCATCCAGTCTACCTGCTGCCCGGCTGCTTTCCGCAGAGGGCCTGGCGGCGGAGGCTGCAGTGACACAGCTCCCTTGTAGGTCCACCTGACAGACACGCTGGGCACGCTGTCGCACATCCTGGAGATGGACCACTTCGCCCTGGTGGTGCACCAGCAGATCCAGTGTGAGTGACGGTTACGTGCACTGGGTTCTTCCTGGGGACAGGGCCCTGCCGTGGCTACAGCTAGGCCGGCATCCCCCAGGGAGCGGGGATGGGAGGCACCAACCTCCTGCCCCGGGCAGGGCTGCTCCTCTGGGGGGCCCAGGCCCAGGTGTTCTGGACCGAGGCCCTGGGTGACAGCAGTCTGAAGTGTCCTGCGAGAGCTGTGATGGTGCCACCCGCGGCACCACCCACAGATCGTCAGGCCACTGCACCGGCCTGGCCTGGTGCCCACTCCCTGCTGCTCACAGGCTTTGTAACCACAGCTGTCGAGCCCACCCTTGGGTGTCGGCTGGCGGGGAGAGTTCTGTCCCAGTGAGGGGAGGAGCACAGGTGTCCATCCCTGGCCCAGGGCCACTCCGGGGCAGTCCCGTAACCCTCTCCGTCCTTGGCTCTACAGCACGGGACCAGCCCCGGGCAGGCGTGGTGGGGGGGCCCGCAGGTACGTACCCCTCGGAAAGGGCACGCAGGTCTCCGCTCTGGTGGGGCGCCCGTGTCTCCAGTCTGCTGGGCCAGGTGGTCACCGAGTGCAGAGATGCAGTGTCAGCAAAAGGCACAGAGCCTCAAGGCCAAGTCCGCCCTGGCTCCGCCCCTCCCGTCGTCCCGGCCTCGTCCTGCCACAGGGCTGAGGCCTCCGAACTCAGTGTCTTCACAAGTTGTGATCCAAAATACGGTGACTACCGCCGAGCGCCCCCGGCAGAAAGGCAGCTCGTGAGAACCCGGCGCCAGGTTCCCGTCTGCCTCGTCCCGGCTCCTCCCAGGGTCACGGTGGCTGTGGCAGGGAGAGGTTTTGAACCCATGGGGGACATCGAGGCAGCCACGAGCGTTCACTGGATGCTCTGCCAGACAGCGGGTGGTTGCTGTCCGTCCCAACTGTGCAGGCTCCCTGTGCGCTGCCGTGAACTGCGTGTGGCCTGCGGCTCTGTGGCTTAGGCACCCTGGGGAGGAGGCCTAGCCCTGGGGCAGCTGGGGCCCCGCCTGCGAAGGGCCTGGGTGCACACGGCCACCCTCCCTCTGTGTCTGGCGCCTTTCACAGCGCCCCACTTCCTCCACAGACCACAGCCATGGCGAGCCCAGCGCGCGGCAGATGGTGTTCGGGGTCGTCACTGCCATTGACCTGCTCAACTTCGTGGCCGCCCGGGAGCAGGACAGGAAGTGACCGCTGAAGCCCCGAGGCCCACTCTGCCCGTCCGCCCTCCACACGAAGCGGGCACCTGGGGTGTCCAGGATGGGGCCGGTGGGCTCAGTCCCCTTCCCAACGCTGGCTTCTGAAACAGACTTGCTTGTATCAGCCTCAAGGGGCTTTTCTTTAAGGTGACTTCCTGTACAATATTTCACCAAGGGGATGTTGAGAGAGGACTTGGGCCCATGCCTATAATCTCAGCTATTGGAAAGGCTGAGGCAGGAGGATTCCAAGTTCCAGGTCAGCCTGGGAAATAGACTGAGACTGTCTCAAAATAAAAAACAAAAAGGCCGGGTGTACCTCCATGGTAAAATGCTCTGGGTGTGATCCCCGGTAGCTCCCCAACCCTCCAAAAAAGAAGGTGGCCAGGTGGGGTAAACACACAGAGAAGGACAGAGAGAACAGACGGCACCCGAGCAGGTTCCACAATGGGGGATGACAGAAAGGGGCTCAGCGAGCCGGGACCAGCTCGGTGCCTGTCCTTGGGCTGTGCTGTCCCTGACGCGGAGTGGGCAGAGTGGCTCTGCATGTGGATTGTCACCCAGGTGAAGGCCACGTGACCTGATACCAAGAGTGCCACAGCGGACAGTACTGGAGTGTAGCACACACAGAATGCCACACAGGCACACCTGGCCTTCACTGGAGGAGACGAGGCCCACCCCACCAGCCCCTGACCCTGTAACCTCGCTCCCCAGCTGGTTTCTGCCTGAGTTTGCTGTTCTGGGCATTTCCTATAAACAGAGTCACAACCTGCACCCTGGGTGTGGCTGTCTCCCTCCGCAGGACCTGTTTGTGTCAGTACCTCATTCCTGCCCTTGGCCAGTCTGTGGAATGAACGTACACGTTTGGTTTTTCCCTCTGGCCACTGGTGCCCACCACCCTTTGGCTGCTGAGGACACCTTGCGTCTGTCCTGGCTTCCTGTGGTTTCCATTGGCATCTCCCTGGGTATTACTGCTGCTCACGGCGCACCTTCGGGAAAGTTCTCAGTTGGGGTGCTGAGGTGTAAGGATTCTTCACATATTCTGGGGATTTGCGAGGACTTGTGTCCCGCTCATAAGTTCTCTACACTTTCTCTGGTGTTTTGTTTTTCGGTACTGGGGATTGAACTTGGGACCTTGCACTTGTGAGTCAGGCAACGAACCACTGAGCTAAATCTCCCGCCCCCTCTTCAGGTTCTTGACAGTGTTCTCTGAAGCACAAGTTTTAATTTGTGCAAAGTCAAAACCTGACCCCTTTTATCCTAGCTGCCCTTGCTTTCCAGCTTGAGCTGATGTCCTAGAAACACACCCGGGTCTGCAGATTCAGCCCACTGATCCACTGGAATTACTCTGTGCACTGCTTTGAGTCACACCACACTGCTGTGCAGACCTGAGGCACACGCCTGGGCGCTGTCTGTCGAGGTTTCGCTCCCCACTGAGTGGCTCTGTCCCCGCTGCAGAAGCCTGGGCAAGTTCCAGGCACTCTGAGCTCTCCTGCGTGCTGGTCTTGCATGGTTTCAAACACCACAGCTTTGCAGGGTGTTTTGAAATTGGCAGGTGTGAGTCTCCAGCTCTTCTTTTTCAATACTGCCAGGTGTGGGGACATCTGCCTGTGATCCCAGCACTCGGGAGGCTGAAGCAGGAGGATCACCGTGAGTTGTAGGCCAGCCTGGAAAACAGTGAGCTCACGTTCCAGGCACCCTGTCTCAAAAAAACAAAAAGAGTAAAAGCCCCCACCAGCCAAACCAGGCCCCAAGAGCTATATCCCTGAGGGGCTCATTTTATTTGAGAATTTATTTGGCCGAGGGTGGAGAATTCTTAAAAACCCATTTCCAGTGGGACTGTGGGGGGCCATAGAGTGACATGGGGCGGCGGGCTCTGCTCCTGGAGCCATGATGGTGGGATCTGAGCATGGGAGGTGCAGGCTTTGCTGCCCCCAACCAGGCTGCCTGGCTGCCAGCTGCACAGCCAGGGCCTTCCTAACCAGAGCGGGCTGAAGCACAGGTCTGGGCGCTGGCCAGGCTGGCTCCTCCCAAGGCTGCAAGGGAGGAGGTGTTTGGGACCTCCTAGCCCTCCCGCCACTCTGGCCTTGCTGGCTGGGCCAGACATCTGACCAGAATCTCCCTCTTCATCTGTATCTAAACTACTCTTTTTGGCTTTTTAAGACAGGATCTCACTGTGTAGCTCAGGGTGGCCTCAAACTTGCAGGAATCCTCCTGCCTCAGCTTCCCAAGTGCTGGGATTTCAGGCATGTGCCGCCATGCCCAGCTAGCCTGGCCTTTTTAATTTGTAAACTACTCCTTTTTACGAGGCACCCCAACATATGAGCGTCCCTTCCACAGAGCAGCCTTATGGTATCAGGGCTTGGGAGACTGACAAGCCTTGTATCCTAACCTTGTTTGATCTGGACTTGAATCGGCCTGGCACAGGTCCATCAGGACTCTGAGGCAAGCTGTCCCAAAGCTAAGTTTACAAATCAGAGGCGAGCTCCCTGGCACAGGTGTTTACAGCCATCCTAGGCACAACCAGACCCTGCCCAGCAGCGTGGGTCACTGATGGGGGTACCGTCCTCCCTGTATTTCTCATCCTGTTTGTCCCTTCCTAGCGGGCACTGCTGTGTGGCACCCTCTGTGTGAGCAGTGAGGGCCCCAGCCTGGCCCCGTCTGGCCCACAGTGGCCTCTGCAGGAGCAGCCGCCTGGTGCCCAGGGCCTACTCAGTGCATGAGGTGCCCTGCTCCCCTAATGATGAGAGACCCGGCCCCAGGGCATCTCTCCGCAGTCCTGATGGGTGACCCTCTGTACAAAGGCACTCATGGCTGTGGCAGATGCTTCTGTAAGGAGGGGCCGGCCAGCCTGCAGTCCTGCTCTCTGGGCATCTTAGCAACGGCCCCTGGGGTGGGGCAGGCCGTCCCTGGGCACTCATGGGCTCTGCACACAGGCTGCCACCAGAGGAAAGGCCATGGCCCTGACAAGAGCAGCGGAGGAGCAGCGGCAGCTGTTGGGCTGTTGGCAGGGCGGAGGCAAGGTGGGGCAGGCAGCTGCAGGGACCGAACACCAGCACTGCTCCGGCTGGTCCAAGTCAGGGCCAGGAGACCGGAAATGCGACCACCTTGGACCCAGCCCTCCAGGAAACTGCACTTCAGGGTCTCAGGAGGGTAGAGTCTGGGATGAATGGAAGGGGCCAGTGGCTGGGCAGGGGCAGAGGATGCCCCTGAGCACGGCAGCGGGAGAGTCAGGCACAGGACGGGGAGCCTCAGGGAGGGGAGGGCGGGACTCACAGTGGGCCCCACTGGCAGGGCGCACACAGGCGTGAAGCCTCAAGGTTGTAGCGTTGGAGCCAGGTGAGCTGGCGCACACCTGTGATCCCAGCACCAGGGACGCTGAGGCAGGAGATCGCTGCAGGTTCAAGGTCAGCCTCGGCTACACAGCGAGTTCAAGACCAGGCTAAACTGCATAGTGAGGCCCTGTCTCCAACACAACACAACACATCACAGGTTGCTGGAACACAGCAGAGGCTGCAGAGATGCCACAACTACACTGAACTATTTGACCGCTGACAAAGGAGCCAAAAACACACTGGAAGAAAGACAGCCTCTTTTATAAAAACTAAACCAAACCTGGTTGTCCACATGCGAAAGACTGAATCTAGACGCGTATCTCTCACCGCACAGTGAATTAAACTCCAAATGGATTAGAGACCTAAATGCTAGCTCAGCAACACTAACCCTGCTGGAAGACAAGATGGGTGAAACTCTCGAAGCCATGGGCACAGACAAGGGCTTTCTACACAGAGCCTGTTATACAGGACACAGTTCTGAGAATCAACATTAGGATCCTATCAAATTAAAAACCTTCCGGACTGGGATGGAGCTAGTGGTTCCACCACCTGCCTCCAAGTGCAAGGTCCCAAGTTAGATCCCCGGTACCAAAAAAACAACACAAATACATTCTTTTGGGTGGGGGATTTAGCTCAGTAGTTCTGCCACTTGCCTCGCAAGTGCAAGGACCTGAATTCGATCCCTGGTACCAATAAATAATAAAATAAAATAAAATAAAAATGTTTCTGCACGGCAAAAGAAACAATCAAGAGTGAAGAGACCGCCTACAGAATGGGGAAAACAATGCCAGCCATTCTTCCGACAGAGGACTAATACCTAGTTCTATAAAGAATTCTAAAAAACCAGACTGAAATGAAAAGACACCTCCCCCGTGGGGAGGCTGCCGTCCACCCTTCCAACCCTGACACGCGGCTGTGGGCTAACGCCAGCAGGGCAGCGGGGCTCTTCTCCATCCCAGCCGTGCCCGCATCATGAGGGGACAGAGAGATGAGCCACACAGAGGCAGAGCAGCTCTGCAGCAACATGGGCAGTGGCAGGGGCACCCCGGTCCTGGCAGCTGCTGGCAGCCTCACCGCGTGGTGTAGGCCCCCTTCCAGCAGGACGCCGGGGCCCCAAGGGACTTAACTTCTGGTCACAGCCAGGCCAAAGCCTCACCCAGGCCGGGCACACCCGCAGGGCAGGGCTCTGGGAACCAGCGCTCCGGGCCGGGGCTGGGGCCTCAGCAGGAGGTGGGAGCCCTGATGATGGATGCCCCACCCCAAAGAAAACCAACCTCTGGCCCAGCTTCCCTCCCCGCCTCACGCCCTTTAGCTCGTGTGCAAAGCCAGCGCCCTGGCCTCAGGACCAGGTCGCACCATGCACTCAGGTGGCCCCGGGGACCCTGCTCCACACACACCTATTTGAAGGACTCGTTTCGCTACCCCACTTGTCACGGCGCTGTTTCATGAAGGCAGGAAGCAGCTGACCTATGAGATCCGAGCTGTTCTCGAGGTCAGACAGCCACAGCTGCAAAGCCCCGGAGAGAAATACCACAGAAGGCCGAAGTCCTGCCGTGGTGTAGGGGAGGCGGTGGCTCCGGCATCACCCAACGTGGCCTGGGGGCTCCCGGAGGTGCTCCCCCACCCGGGCAGTAAAGACCGTGCGGCATGGCTGAGGCGGACTGGGCGCACCCATATCCCGGGGACAGGACCCACCCAGCCAGGAGGACCAAGGGCAGCCTCTCCCAGGTCAGCAGCGGCCTCCTGAGGAGAAACTCGGAGGACCCGGCAAGCTGGCCACAGCCACAGCTGGAAGAAGTGGACATCCATGGTGCTGGGGACACCACCTGAGCCAAATTCAGCCGTGTGCCCACAGAGGGGGGTCCTTCCCGGGCACGAGGGCCGCCTGCCTGGTCTCCGCTGTTCTACCCCAAACACCCGCACTCGACCGTCACGAGCCATCCACTTCTCAGAAGCAACGCCTCCACCAAACCAGACCCGCGGATGCTGCCACAGCCAGGATAACGCAGTCACACCCGGTGGGCATGGGGGTGACAGCCTCTGCCATGCTTCCTGCCACCCTGTGGTGACGCTGCATAGCACGGCAGGCCCTCCGGCTGGGCCCTCCTCACCCCAGTGACAGATGAGCCTCGATCCCACCTCAAGAGCCCTCGGCCCCGCTCCCACAGGACAGCTCCTCCAACACGGCTGCCATGGCCGACAGCACAGGACAAAGCTCAGTGACCACAAGCACAGTGCTTTAAAAGGGACCCGATCTCCCACAGAGCACTTTCTAAAAATGTCTAAGCAACTAAAGCCAACACTGCCACGTGAACGACCCTTTCAAACAGGCTGGGCCAGGGGCCGGGGATTTAGCTCAGCGGCACTGTGCCTGCCTCGGAGGTGCAAGGTTCAGGGTTCGATTCCCAGTACAGAGAATAAAAAACCAGGCTGGGACAGAGAACTCCTCCTTCATATTCCCGCTCCATTCCTGATTTATAGGTGGCTTAAAGTCTTGAGTTCACTCAAGCAACAAGATGAACGATGAGGTCCCCGGCATGAGATGGAGCCTGCTACAGGCCAGCAGCACGAAGAGTTCCAGCTGTGCGCAGGGGCCGGGCCTTGGGGACGGGCGCTGAGGGAGGAGAGGCCCCACAGGCTGGCTGCTTCGATGCCTCAGCCCCAGGGCTGCACACTTCCCCGCATCGGTGGCAGGGAGAGCCCGGTCTCCAGAAGGACATGACACGCTCTGACTTCTGCCTGTGCCCACAGGGTGGGGACACTGCATACCCACACGGACTCCCGCTTGCCAGGGTCTGCTTGGCCGTTACCCACCTACTCATCCATCTGAAGGGGCAGACAGACCTTGGCACCCATGCACACCGTTTCACAGCTGCGGGGAAGGAACTCTCCTCCCACACCCGAAGCAGGGCCTGAGGCCCCGTGTACATCCATTCCACACCGGCCTCACCTCTGGCCTGGAGGTGAGGACACAATGACGGATCCAAGCACCTCCCCTCAAACATGCCCTCGTCGTTCACTCCAGCTCACCTGGGTTCCAGCCGCACCTTTGGCCCGGGCTGCACTGTGCCCCTGCCATCTGCCTCTAGCAGGGACGGCTGCTGGGTGGTGGCATCCTGAGACCTGGACACCTCCAGGACGGTGGGGTCTGCCTTACCTTTCTTCCCATTACTGCCAAAGTAATCAGGTTTATGGAAAAGTACAACCAAAAAGCCTGCCTGGGAGTTTGTGCTGGTAGCCACGGTGCACAATGTGAGAAGCCCTGAAGATGCACGGGTCGGGACGGCCCTGTCACACACAGCGCCTCACGATCTGACGTCTGCTCACAGTGGAAAGCAGCTCTGGGTGACTTGAGCTTTACAAAATAAAACATCCGTAAGGCATGTTTCTATTTTTAATTTTTTTGCTTTGATAAATCAGTTGCTTCACAAAAATCCTTTTAAGGACAACAATCCAAGAAAACATTGTTACAGTATTCACATTTTAAAGATTGTCAGTTTCAAAGATGGAACTTAACTAGAAAAGGCAGATTTCTGAGTCAGTCCTGTCACTAGCTGCAGAGCGGCCCACGAGAGCAGTGTCCCCGCTTCCTCACCCAGAGGGCTGGGGACCCCATTGGCTCCAGAGCCAGCCCCGGGGCCCCGCCGTGCTGGACAGATGGACGGACGCAAAACCAGGAGGGCCGAGTGGACAGCAGGGGAGGCAGCGCAGGCAGTGGTCTCGGGACACACAGGCAAGGCGCCGTGCGGGGGCTGGGATCAAATGGCGCCCGCGTGGAAAACGGCCAACGGAAAACGGAGTGCACGCAGGCCGCGCTTCCATCTCCCCACAGGGCCAGGCACAGGCGCTTCTGCCCCGCACGCAGACGCCAAGCAGGCGGAGCAGCAGCCACGCTCGCGGGCCGCGGC